CCAGCTGGTTTAAATGTGTTGGGCCTAGCTGGTGTTTTTATCCCTGCCAAGGATCTTCTGGGATCAAATTTTCTCAGGCCCTAGTTCATTTTTTGCCTCCAGTCTCTATTGACTCCCTCTAACTCGTGAGCAGCTTTTTCATCAAAAAATAGTGCTACATCTGAGACATAGCATTACTCCTGATCCCTTCTTCTTGAAATGATGTAAAAAGTCAACAATGGTTTCCTCTTGCTTGGGGTAAGCCATTTTATTACATTCCTCTTATTTGTTCGTCTCCCTTACTTCTTCGACATTTTGATCTGGGATCTCAATCATGTTCACATCGATCTTTTCTTCCAACTGCATATTGAAAAAATGAGCTTCAAGGTTTTCAGTGTGTTTCTCCACGCACTTATTGTCTGCCTCTTGCGCTACCTTCTCCCAAGTGGCATCTTCAGCATGGAATCTCTCTATGTTAGGAGACGTCTTAAAGTATTGTTCTGCTGCCATGCATGTCCACTGTTCTAACACGCAACCGTCCATTTCGGTCATTTCTCCCACCAACAACATGTTGTTCTCTATCTCTCTGATGACTTCGATCTTGGGACCATTTCCGCCCACAGCCTCCTTGGTGTGGACGTTATCTGCATTAGCCTCAAATTCTCCACTTAATTCAACCATGTTGAGGCTCTTAGCAGCACTTCCTCCCAGCCTTCTTTCTGCCACTTCCAATCCCTTAGCAGCTTTATTTATCTGAACAAACTTATCAGCAGTCTTCTTGGTCACCAACGTTAGACTACTACCACCAGTCCTTCCTAGGCTCGTTGATGTTGCGTCACGGCCTTCAGTTGCTTTGGCTGTTTCAGATTTTGTGGCGAAATTCTCAGTGGTTTCCACCATGTTGACTGGAGAGTTAATCTTTTCAATGGATTCGACCATTTGAACCTCTTCGGGTTCTGCGTAGTTAGCTTCTACAGTCTGTAATGGGTCAGAGTCAATCTTCATTTCAGTCTTCCCCTTGTCTCCAAACTTCATCCTTCCTTCTTGAATGGCGTTTTGCACCAAATCCCTGAAAAGAAAACATTGAGAAGTTTTATGACCCAAGAAATTGTGGTACTTACAAAAGCCTCTTTTCTTTCTTTGTTCTAAAGGATGTACTTTAACACCAGCAGGCACTATTATTTTCCCATCCTTAACTAACAAATCAAATATTTCGTCACATTTAGTAACGTCGAAAGTATACGTTTTCTTAGGAAATTTGTCATTAGACTCAGGGGGTTTTTTCCATTCGAAGGAGCTAAGAGTTTACAAGCATAAGGTGGACCTTACTTTAATTCAGCAACATCAACCTCATGTTCGTCGAAATAAGACGTTTCATCATAGAGATTTTCTACATCTTCGTTACATTCGACAAAGGCTACTTTCTTACCCTTACTGAACCTAGCTTTTTCTTCTCTTAGCCTCTCTAGTTGTCGAACTCTATTAGCTAGCTGCGCCATACCTCTGAGATACTGGGTGTCCAACTTCTTCCTAATGGCATAATCAAGACCCCCAGCAGCCATCTCGACCAACTCGTGTTCTGGGACCTGTGTAAAACATCTGGCTTTAAGAAGTCGAAACCTATTCAGGTAATCATCAATTGGCTCTGTGACTTTTCGTTTGACACTAGCCAATTCTTTCAAGCTGATCTTGGTTTGTCCCATGTAGAATTGTTCGTGGAACAAACATTCTAATTGAGCCCAATTATAAACCGAATTAGGAGACAACATGGTAAACCACGTGAAAGCATTTTTTGTGAGAGAACTTGGGAAGTACTTGACCCTAAGGCTTTCGTCACCTGATATCTCTCCTGCTTCAATCATATACTTAGCCACATGTTCGACGGTTGATTCAGTAGTATCTCCTGCAAACTTACTGAACTTTGGAACCTTCGTCCTGGGAGGTAATTCAGCTTGAAGAATATAATCCATTATGGGTGAAGTATAATTTGGCCGTGTGAAACCAATGTTTGCACCATTTTTGGTCATTATTCTTTCAACCATGGCTGCAAGATTATTTTCTTCTGCCACGCCTTGGTGTCTAACTTGTCTAAGTATTTGGTCAGCATTTTGATTCCTGTTCACCATGACTACTCCTAGTTCTTCCTCCATATGGGTTGGCACCTGGTTCCTTTGCGGTTCGACTCTGAAAGGTTCGCCCATCTCCTGATCTTCTATATTCGCCTCCGGTATGTTCTGTGGCTGACACCGTGGAATGTTTTCGCCAATTGTTGGTCTTCGATCAAATGCTGGTACTCCTATAAAGTCATCCATACTGGCTAATTGTGTCGCCAGTTGTTGATTAGTCTGAGCAGTATTCTGAATCAAAGGTTGAAAAACTTCTCCCATTGTCTGAGACAGCGTTTGCACCATTTGCATATTACTTTCATCCACTTGCTGCCTCAAACAGTTTATGGATGTATTTGTAAGACTGGGTGCCTGAACAGAATAACCAACACTTATGCTTTGGTTGTTTCGACCACCTGACCCAGATCCTTGCACTGGAGAAGACACTATATTTTCTGAAAATATGGGTGGAGCGTTTTGTAGATTTTGCATCATTGACGTAGGCATACCATAAGATGGGTTCCTTGGTACATCCTGGAGGTGTTGGTGGATTAGAACTTTGTGGTCCTATATATTCCAACACAGGTTGAGTGTACGTTCGTACACATGTTGATCCTGGACTGGCCATAGGCTACATTTGTTCAGACACAACTACTGGTGGTGGCGTCTGTCCTTCCGTCGAAGAAACTGGATATGGAGTATTTTGAGACCCCATGCTACTTGACTGAGTATTTGAAACGCTTCCTTGTGGATCAACTTGTTGATTAGCACTTGTTGTCATTCTCTTACTATATCTTCTCTTTGGTACCTCTTCGTGTGTCATGGCTAACTTCCCACTCCTCAAGAACATACAATGAAGTATTGCACCAAAAGATGAATTTGGTTAATGTAAACTTTAGAATGCTTAGCACTGGGTCCCACCAGGTGTGCCAATTTGTTTACTGTGAATTTTGATAAACAAGCGTTGGTCTATCAATTCAGGGTAAAATTGAATAACTTGCAATATCGACCATACTAAATCCTAAGACATGTGCTAAGTATGTGAAAAAAACTTTAATTTGAACTCCACGTTCGACTATGAAATCTTTGTAAAGTAAAATTGACTTGAAGATTAAAGGCAATATGTAAAAGTGCAATAATGTAAATGTTTTGGCAGTAACAATCGAAAGTAAATGCAATAGTGTAAATGACTCTTGAAAGTAAATGACTTTTAAAAATAAATGACTTTGAAAGTAAATGACTTTTAAAAATAAATGACTTTGAAAGTAAATGTGCAAAAGACTCTAATCTGAACTCCACATTCGACTATGAGATCTTTGAAAGTAAATGACTTGGAAAGTAAAGGGCTTTAAGACTAAAGGACTTTGAAAATAAATGGCTTTAAAAGTAAATGACTTTAAAAACAAAGGACTTTGAAGGTAAATGGTTGTGAAAATAAAGGGTTTTAAAAATAAAGGTGCAAAAGACTCTAATATGAATTCCACGTTCGACTATGAGATCTTTGAAAGTAAATGTGCAAAATGTTAAATTTGCAGGTTAACGTAAAATGCAGAATGTGAAATAGCGTGAAACGTAACTTAAAATAATGTCGCAAAAGGGCTTGAAAAGGCAGTTTAAACATAAAGGGTGAAAGCTAAAACGCAGAATAAGTAACAGCGCATAAATGGTAAAGACAAATAAATTGCATTAATGAAAAGGAGTTGGTGTTGTATCACGTACATTCTCGCTAACTCGTTTCTCTACACGCGGGTACTTTGAGTGATTTGGAGTGATTAGTACAAGATGAATGAACACCTTTATTACATAAAAACAACAACTATTTATAACGTTAGTAAATAACCACTAAATGACAGTTATGACTTCACAACGTGTCCTTTTGGCGCTTTTTCACAACTTCAACTGCTCCCACATTCGCCCACTATCAATTTGAAACTTAGACACTAAGAATTCCCTTCAGCCTTCATGGTAACTGCCCTGTGTTCCTTCTAGCATAATCCTAGTCGAAAGCTTCTCCAACACTTAGCATTTTTTTTAGAAATTTTGTCAACCTTTCTTTGTTTCAGGTTTCCTCAAAATTGTGTCAAAACCTTCATGTTTTTTGAATAACATTCTAACTTAGATCTATTCTAATTGTGCTGGCGTCAAAAATGAGAGCTAACACCATCTCAAATGGTAGACAAGATGGGAACTGTTGCATTGGACCTTCCCTATCATCTAACATACATAATGTTTTTCATGTTTCACAACTTAAAAGTGTCATAACCCTATTGCCTTAATTGTCCAGCAAATTCGTACTACACCTGTATCAACGGAAAGGTTCCCTATGCTATACTGGACAGAAAAAATGGTAAAGAGAGGAAGAGTTGTTGCCACTAAAATTCTTGGAAATTTTACTATGACTTGTTGAAGTTTTCATATTTTCACCCTTGAGGATAAGGGTGCTCTTGGGGGAGCACTCAGAATTTACACAACTCAGTCTACTCTATAACCCCATCTTATGAGAGACAGTATATGCAGAATTTACACAACTCAGTTAACTCTACAACCCCTTCCTTATGCGACGCAATATATGCATACAGTTTAAAAAGGTCTCTAAATAAATATAAAATAATAGAATACTAAAAATCAAGTAATTCTTAAATTCTTCTTGCTTTGCTTAAGTACTGCTGTTAATTTTCGGCAACCAATAAATAGGGTTACATCAAGCCGAATAAAATCTAGACTATCTCTTGAATTTACAAAAAAAAAAGAAAAAAAAAAGAAGATAATAAAGTTTCAATTTTGGCCCAATGCATACTACAAATCAAAAGGTAGCAAATCAAGTCTTAGGAGGCCTTTGTGTTGATTCACACCAAATATTTGCTCTAATAATTATGAAAAAATCTACTATTTATGCCTCCAAAAGGGTTCAGAGATTTAGAATAATCGCTTTCTGCAGTCTGAAGCTCCACAATAACATGCCATTTGCTTTATCTTCCCATCAGAGTCCAAGACGCTATCAAGAGCATAGCCATAGTCATATGTCAGTTCCTGCAAATGTACCAATTGAAGATTTAAGACATTTGGCAAAACAATAACAACTAGTACTCCCTCTCTTTTCATAGGTAAAAGAAAAAAGAAACCCTCCAAACAGTGAACTAAGTCAAAATGGAAGAATTTTCTTTATAGAGCCAAAACTTGGGAGGATTTGGAAACATGATTCCCTTCTATTGAACTCCTAATAATTAGTACAAATGATTATTTTTGGCCTTAGGCAAGATCAATAATTTGTACAAGGCATGATTCATTTGTATAACTTAAAGAACATGCATTGTTGTTAGATACAACCTAAAGAACTCATTTGTATAACTTACATATACAATATAAAGGACTAAAAATATTCTTATAAAAGTTAAAGGAGCAAAATGAGTATTAGACTTTAGATAGAGGATAAAAAAAGAATAAGACAATATATTAAATGGGACCTGCAAAGGGGGTATGTTGTCAGCAGCAAACAGCATTACTCGAGCCAGACGCAAATCATGGTGTGTGCTCAAAACACATTGTACAAACAAATTAGGCTCACAACAATGGTTTATAAACCTAGCAATATTTCCAGTAGATCCTGCGTCAATACAAAACTCTGGTGCACTATCAGGACTTTGGTCATCATATTTGTCCAAAAGCTTGGCAGCATATGGTACATTTTGCGACCGCCTCTGTCAAAATTAACATTACCAAAGACAAGAAAAAAATTCTCAAAACTGACTGAAACAACTGTTAAAAGAATTGTGATTTCACAGAAATTGTTACCTCCCTTCCTCCAAGACCTTTAATAGTCTGGAGGCAATCAATCTCAAATATATAGTTGTTTTCTAAACAACTGTCTACGTCATCAGTCCTGCCGAGAATTCCGGTGTACTCACACACGGGTGCCCCAGATGGAATAAAATCCCAGGATCGTACCGCCCATCCTTTTTTTGCTGTGCGAAAAACCTGGGTATTATCAAGATCAATATTTAACTTATTTAAAATTAATATTCAAAAGATGTAAGGAAATCAATACAACCTCCAAACGATATCGAGGTCCTTTTTGAGAAATTCGATTCACACAACTAGGATCACAACCACAATTGGGGCCGCATTCAAACACAACATCTTTAGCTTCAACTAATCTGTCAATGTATTAAAGATGACATTATTATTATTGTAGCATACATGATATAAATGACATTTCACCAGAGTTTCTAACCTGCCACCATCCCTAGATACATAGGGAAATTCAGAGCCATTGCGCTTTGCACATTCACAGGTTGTATGATCAGTACAATTGCCTTTGCATTTGCACCCAGAGGCATTGGCAGGAAGCGTAACACTTGTTGCAACCTTCAGAGACTTAAAATATTTGAAACCTATGTAATGTTCAAAACAGTGATACATATAAGACATAGGTAGATACATCATAAAAAACTATAATAAGAATTCAACTTTTCCAAGAAAAAATGAATGACTGGTATCAAAGTCTAGTTTAGATTAGTTGAGCCACCTGTTATTATTGGGTGACCAAGATTATATTTTAGATGTCCAATTCTAGGTGTATGGGAGTGTTCAAGGGTTCCAAGGGTTCCACAAGGGATAATGATAGGGTATGATTAGAGTCTATCCTAGATCTAACAGGTCACCAACTATATTGTCAACTAACAACATACCTGTGGGTGGAACAGGAGGGTCATCAACCAAATTTGTAGCTGGAATAGGAATAGCTTCCTGACCTCCAGTGATATCCTCACATACCAGCCTAAACAAATGAAAGCAAGGATTAAGGAAAATGTAATATGTATAAAGCATATTAAAAATTCAATTTTTCAGAATTACTTTTCATTACCCTCGTATTTCTGCAACAGACTGAGGTACACGTCCACTTGTGAAATAAACCTGACATCAAATGAAGATGAGCTAAAAGGAAACAAAGTGACAGATGAACTATGACCTTATATAGAAATCAAGATAAAGAGACCTGCAATTTTTATGCCGAATCTTTCTTTTTAAGATAATATGAAAACAAGGAGTACTTCGGTAATAATTGATAAAACACACATGGAAACACATGAAATGTTATAAAAACCAAACACCTGCACATTTTGTAATTTAATGAGATAAAATCTCAAATTTCCTTCTATTTAATTATCCCCTATTGCCTTGTAAATATCGCTAATGTAATTAGATTGGTATCATTATAAATACAAAACATTGAGAACTAATATCCCATGGCAGATTAATTACCATTTTAGTATTATTAATAAGCTCATTTGAGATAGAATAGTCCAATGGGAGTTGCATTTGCAGTCTTCTAATGAATATTGGGAATAGCCGACGGAGCTATCACCATCGTATCTTGAAGAAATGTAGCTCGCAGTGAGCCTCAACAGCAACACTTAGTTTCTTCCTCTTCAATCACACCCACGTTCTATATATTCTTCTGCCTTTTCAATTTATACACATTCCAAGACGCACTTTAACATTCTCATCACGCCTCAACAGTAACGCCTAGTTTCTTCCTCTTCAACCACACCCACATTCCATTTATTCTTCTGCCTTTTTAATCACATTCCAAGACCCAGCACTTTACCATTCTCATCATGCCTCAACCACAACACCTAGTTTCTTCCTCTTCAACCACACCCTCATTCTGTTTATTCTTCTGCCTTTTTAATGTATGCAGAACCGCAATTAACTCATGAATCCGATCCAACATGACATTGTCATGTCGGCATGCTGCATTTCAGGTGAGGTCGCAGGTAACAAAAACGGTAAACTCACATGAGTGTTTAAGTAAACTCGTTTTGAGTTCAGAGAGGCAGCGGCGGCGCTACTTTTTTGGGGTTTTTTTAGAGAAGAAAAAACCAATTTATAAAATGGGCCTGAAAAGGGTCGTGACAAAAATAAAACGTTTTAACTATTTTAAATAGAAATTCAGAGAGACATGTCAAATATTATTCCTTTATTTTATGAATGAATTACTATGAATTACAACCTTCTCTTCTCTTCCGATGCCGTATCATTAATCCTTTGCCATGATTACAACCTTATCTCAAAAAACACACTTGTTACTGCATCATATTATTACTCTTTTATTTCCCCGTAAATTTTTTTCTATCACTATTCTTCTACCTTAATACATTAAAAACAGAATTGCTGCTTTTTATTCTAAAAAGTACAACTTATGATTGTGAACTTGTGAACTTGGCCTGTGTATGTAATTATACATGCATAAATATATTTTTCTACTAGTATTAAGATCTTACGATCCATGCTACAATCCTCGAGTTACAGTATTTCAATCCTCTATTGATTCAGCGTAGACTCTTGAGTTTTTAAACACCGCTCATCACCCAGTAGCGGGACCTATAGGACCAAAATCCAAATATCACCAAAAACACACATCAATGCATGTCTTACACCCCGCCAATTTACCATTCACATCACCCAATACAAATTCCAGCAGACCTATAGAACCAAAACCTAAATATCATCAAACCGGCCAAATTTCTGGCCACTACCATCCTCCTAGCTAAGCACTTCGCACACCAACACCCACCTATACATGCCTTACATACCCCTACCCCAAATAACCACAACCCTAAATGGCAAATTTTGAAGTACATCTAAAAATCATAATTTTACACCCCAAGAAACCACAACCTGATAACTCAGAAATTAAAACTGAACAGGAATAAGAAACAGGAACAAGTCAATATATCAAAAGCACGAGGAAAATGAAAACAATGAAGGGTAGTTTAATGAATAGGGCTAAAATGTGGATAGTAGTTGAGAAAGAATAGATGATACAGAAACTAAACTCAGAAATCTCTGCTCGGTAATAAAGAAAAGTGAAATATCAAAGGAGAGGAAGATGATGAAGAAGAGGGTGAAGGTTCTGATTAAAGAACCAATGTAACCTAAATAAATTAAATTGGGATGTTTTATTTAAAATATAATTTGTTGATTTGAGCCTATGCATTAATCTCAGATAGCAGCACTAACACCAGACCCCAAAATGACTATAGAAGGATATCCACTACTACAAAGAATAAAAAACAATATGCAAACTAAACATGAATCCTAACAGGTGCAATCAAGACAGAACTTAAAGTTTAAAATGAGACATAACAATGATGGGTAAAAATAGTTGGTTGTTGTGGATGAGTGAGGATGTGCAGGTACCGGCAGGACAAGAAGTTTGATAACAACTTTACAATAAAACACATTAAGAGGTAATATATAAAAATACAAGTAACAATTGAAAGATGAAGCTAGAAAAAATATAGTTAAACCTGATTAGTGGTTAATGTAGGCTGACCCTCAACCCTCCTAAGCCGATACTTGTAGACTGTGAAGCCAGATATTCCCTTCTCTGCCCAATAATTGACAACCTGCAAAACAGGCACAAGATTTTAAATATGGAATTAATATTGCTGATTAGATAATTGTAGTAAGTTTAAAACACAATAATTGATAATACAAGTGAAAGTAATAATCATGAGCATATCCTTCAACTTCCAATTAAAAATTATTGCCCAACACTTAAACACTATATAGGCATATGCTCTCTCGCTAAACATGAGTCAACTTACAAATTCAAATACACAAACACGGTGAAAAATAAATATATAAAGACAGATGGCACGTGTCTTGTTTACCATTATTTAAAAAATTAAAATGTGATATTATTAGCTGCCTTTAACATACGTGCTGCCTTTATCATACGTGTGTGTGCCGTGCGTGCATGCGCATACAAAACAGAGGTACAATTAATATAGGGAGACATAACTAAGTAATAAAGTCTTCAGAGAACTTACCTTGTACAATCCATCATATGTATAAACTTTACGTGTATAACTGTCACGTGAGTTATGACCTCGAATCACCCTTACTGGCACACATTGCTCTGAACAGTTCTACAAATGAGATCAAATCATGTTAGATGTGCCTTTGAACATCAAATAGAGTACAATGGATTAGAGAAACATGCCATACTAAAAAGAACATAGGTGCGTGAAAGAATACAAAAGTAAGGTCCATTGGCTGGTTATTTATGCTTTTGGGTGAATTGTTGGAAGCATTCTGCAGATAGAATAATGTTAGCTACAATCATTAGAAAGCATACCTTGAGTGCTAAATTACCACGCTCCATTTTTTGATCTCCCATTTGTCTCTTATTGCCAGTCAGGTTGTGGCCACCTTGACCAGTGTAAATGACATCTTCGGCATTATCAAGGTCATCTTCATACATTCCAGAAATAACAATAGCCACAGCAATTGGGAAATTGTAGCTGTTGTACTGCAACAACCAAAGAGATGAAAGTAAAAAGAGAGGGGTTTGTAAGGAACATTATAGTCAAAAATCTATTAATTAAGATCATATGAATCACTTATCTTTTGATATTAAAAATTAGACTACTGAGTAAAATAAGGGAAACAAGTTGTATTACCACTTTGGAATAAGATTGGCCCATATAATCTATGCCATTTAACCAGTGGCTATGAAAACCAATGGCAACCATTTCAGCACGAGAATAGAACTGATATCCAACCTCAACACCTTGAATATTAGAAAATTAAAATATATTATAAACAAAAATGCCTGATAATTAATGATGAATCGTGAAAGAAGCTAATTGTAAAATTTGTTATGCTATAAAAAATCAACAGTCAATACACACAAGATGAAGCTGCCAACCTGGAATATCGCCAATTCTTTTTTCAGGGTTCAGTATCTCACTATTTTGCATCATCTGCAAGACCTCCAATACAAAGACATTGTTAAAAGAAAACAAGCTAGATACAACTAAATTGGTTTTGCTTCGGGCTTAGCGTATTTTGACTATATAATACTTTTTGGACAACTTGAGTGAGCAATAGAGAAAGATTACTCCCCTAGCAACAATTGGAGTAAGTGCCAAAATAGGAATAAAATCAAAACAGAGGATCATATGAAAAATAAATAAATGTAAATTGTTTTAGAACTAAAAGTGCTCCTTTAAATTGTTTCAAAGATATGGCTCATAGCAAACAAAAGATGAATAAGGTAAACTAATAACAAGCACTGGCAGTGTTGTCAAATTGGGGTGCCATGGCCTAGCGGATATATGTGGCGGTTTTTGGGTTCGCCGCAATTGTAAATATCGGCTGATATTGCGGGTTTTTCTGCCATAATCCGCTATAACGGAGCCGTAAAGCAGCCTGTATAGCGGGAATTTGGCTCTCCGCAATGAATCCACAACACTGCTGACAATCCAAAAAAGTGAAGATTCAACATAATCAATTCTTAACTTGCCTTGGTTAATGCCTTCAGATCAGGTCGCTTGGCGGCATTCTTTGGTTCTATAGGCAAAGTATCTTTCTACAAAATTTAAAACATTGAGTTTAGTTAGTAGTGAACTGCAAACAAGCTATTTAAACAAAAACGCAACTTGGGCCTAAACTTGCAATGAGTATCTAGTGTGTGACATTGAAACACAAATAATAAAAGCCACACCTCCACCAACTGCAGAGAGCTTTACCTTGGCATTTTTCTTCCCAGCAGATGATTTAGAATTTTTAGCAGATTTCTTCCCAGGAGATTTCTTAGGAGATTTCTTAGGAGATTTCTTGGGAGATTTCTTGGGAGATTTCTTGGGAGATTTCTTTTTCTTCTCAGCTTCAGCTCTTGCTTTTGCACACCTCTCCTCTTCCTCCTGTACATTCGAAAGATGAATTACTTCAAGCAAAACAAGGCAATCAAAAGAGACACTATAACATAAAAGTAACTAACCTGAACCAAATGGAGATAGTGTTTATTAAACAGTCTAATAGTATCTTTGACCTTAGCTGCATAACTCTTTTCAGCAGACGCATCAACTGTATTTTCCGAATCCACCTTCATTTTTTCATCCCAAACCTCCATCAGCTCACGCTTCGCATCCATTGCAGACTTCTTCTTTGGACGTTTCTCCGAAGCAGCCTCTTCCTTGTTTTTCATCTCTTTCACCGAAGCAACATGTTCATGGCCCCTTGACTGTGTTTCGGAAACAGCCTCTTCTTTAACCGAGCTCTCTTCTTCGCCGTGACTTTTCTTAACGCGTTTGTTAGACTTCCCCTTAGCCGTTACAACCACGCTAGATTTCTTTCGTTCTTCAACAACCTCTACATTCCGTCGAAGCCTAACCTCTTCGACCTCTTTCAGCTTAGCAGCTTGGATTCGAGAGCTTGATCTCCGCTGCGACATTGGTGTATCTTTAGTATCAGCTTTCTTTGCACCGTATTCCACCGTTATTTTTATCTTAGGGCTCATCTCAATCTCCGCAGAAACCATCAAATGCTGCGAAACGACACCGCTACCACCGTCGTTCGCAATTGAATCGTGAATCTCAAACGATTTAGCAACCATGGAAACCTGCAAAATCAAACGAGGAGGTTAAAGGTTAAGAAAATGCTAATCGAATAAGAGAATCAATGGTGAAAAACGGGAGATTGAAGATTTACAATGGAGAAACGATTCTGAAGGTTTTCTAGGGTTTGAGGAGAGAGAGAGAGAGAGTGAAGAGCGAGAAAATGAAATGAACAATTTCTATCTCGTGTACGATTGAGTGATGATGATTAATAGCTCCACTCTCGAGGTGTGGAGGAGTGAAAGGCCATTGCCGAAATAATGGGAATTTTTTTTATTTTTTGTTATTTTTTATTTATTTTATTTTTTGGAATTTTGTTTTTTCTTTTCGCGTTCCCGCTTCACGTATTTTAATCTCCGATTCTCGCGGTATGGACGAAAAAGTGCAACGCAACGTGTGTTGTATGTTTGAGCTAAGTACACCTAACTTGTTAGTATTGGAATGTTTTTCAAATTTTAAAACCTGATTTATGTGTATGTATCTCTTGCAGGAAAATCTTTTGACGGTTAGATCGTATATGCTACTACGTATTTCTTTATTTGATGTATACTACTACTATTTTCTAGATGCAATCAATTTTATTTTTTAATTATTTTTATTTTCAAATTTCAAATCTAAGAAAAACCTTTCTTACAAGATTGATAACTTTTATTTTGATCTCCGACTCTCGTGATATGGACAAAAAAATTTGCATGAATGATGTACAATATGCGTTTGAATTAAATAAATTTGTTATTATTGGAATGTTTTTTAATTTTGATTTGTATTTGTCTATAAAATGTTTTGACCATTTGATAAAATTGTCTCCGTATTTTTTTTATTTGAATCTAAAACATTTTTTCTTACAAGATTGTTGGTTTCCAATGATCATTATTCAAATAGACTAAATCTACTTCATTACTAATTCAACACAGACAAAAGAGATACCTAAATTTGAATTCAATGTAAACAATTGTATTGAAACTTTTATTAGAAAAAAATAGTTAATTAAATATTTAAAGATTAATTGGTATTTAAAAAGTTTTACAACATCAATACGTTGCAATTATTAATAGATGACATTTTAAATGTGATTAAAGAAAAGTCAGACACATATTAAATGTAACAATTGAAATTAATTCTTACACAATTAATACATACCAATTTTATATATATATATATATATATATATATATATATATATATATATATATATATATATATATATATATATATATATATATATATTAAAAATATTAAAATTAAATTGTTTTTAAATTTCTTTCTAAAAATTAAATTAAATTTTTCACATATGATTTTTTCTATCTTTATTTAAACAATTTAGTTATTAGACTATAAGAGTGTTTTTTTCTAATAAATATTATAATTATATTAAATTAAAATAAAATCGTTTTTGAATTTCTTTCTAAAAATTAAATTAAATATTTCACATATGATTTCTTCTATCTTTATATATGATTTTTTTCTGTCTTTATTTAAACAATTTAGTTATTAGACTATAAGAGTGTTTTTTCTAATAAATATTATAATTATAAACCAATACTTTGATTATTGAAGGACCACGAATAACAATATTTGTTGTTTTTATTTAAATCATTTGTTTTAAATTATATATAAAATATATTACTTTATCTTTTCTATATAATTCAAAATTATTTATTGTTTAGTTAAATTTAATTCGTTGTTAATGCAGGTGATCCCTCAACTCTCCTAAATTTATAGAATGTGAAGAAATTTTCTTCTTTAGTCAATAATTCTAAATTTTAATAATTTTAAATTACAAATATTTTATGACATTGATTAAATTTGGAAAGTCCCTTAGACCACCTCCAACTGTGGTTTTTCAAATTGGTTTGTCAGTTTGGCATTGAAATTGTCAACAAAAAGTTGTTTTAGCTGGTGAACGTTAGAGCACCTTCAATGGTGCAACCCATTTTTAGGTTCTTTGTGGGACCCACTCTTTTAAAATAACTCATTCAATTTTCACTCCAATGGTACAACTCCAAAGAACTCATATTGGGTCCCACCATTTTACTTAAAATATATTATTTATATTAAATTTATTTTATTTAAAATTATAATTTAAATATTTAAATTTTAATTAATATAAATACAAATTAAACATAAAATTAAAATTAAACATAAAATTGAAAATAATAATTAAAATTAAATTTAAATACATGTCACATAATTAAAAACAATAAAAAAATGAACAACCATAAAAATAAAAATAAATAACTTTTTATTAAATTTAAATAATTATTTTAATAAAAAAAATGAAGAACAATTTCTTATGTTTGTAACGTTCACCGGTTGAAATAACTTTTTATTGACAATTTCAATGTCAAGTTAGCAAACCAATTTGAAAAACAACCGTTGGAGGTGGTCTTACAAACATAAGCAATGGTTCTTCATTTTTTTCTATTATTAAAATAATCATTTAGCCGTTGTGTAACGGCTTTATTTATTTTTATTAAACTTTTTTTATTTATTGTAAATATAGGTTTGTTGGAAAAATTATATACCAATCTTATTTTCTCTCACTTTTATTTTTATTGTTTTTAATTAAGTGATGTTATTTATTTTTATTGTTTTTAATTATGTGATGTTATTTATTTTTATTGTTTTTAATTATGTGACATGTATTTAAATTTAATTTTAATTATTATTTTCAATTTTATGTTTAATTTTAATTTTATGTTTAATTTGTATTTATATTAATTAAAATTTAAATATTTAAATTATAATTTTAAATAAAATAAATTTAATATAAATAATATGTTTTAAGTAAATTAGTGGGATCTAATATGAATTTTTTGGAGTTACACCATTAAAGTAAAAATTAAATGAATTATTTTAAAAGAATGGGTCCCACAAAGAACCTGCACCATATTGAAGGTGCTCTTACCATGATCGTTTTCATTCTTAATATCACAATAATTGTCATTCATTCAAAGAGAACAACTGGTTTGTTCAAATACGCTAATTTAAATTAAAATTATACTGCTCTTCGATTTTAATTCAACAAACAGAAGTGATATAATTAGGTAAAATATTGTCATTTAAATTTGAACTCAATATTGTACAATTGTGTTGAAAATTACTAAAAATGAATAATTAAATATCTTCTCAAAGGAAAAGTTTTTTATTTTTGTGAATAATAATTTAAAAGGAAAGGTTTTTTATTTTTTTTAAATTACATTAAATTTTTCATACATAATTTTTATCTATCATTGTTGAGACAATTTAATAATTAGACTGTGAATACATTTTATTTAAAGTTTTGAGTTCCTTCGTGTCATCATAATTCTATCTTCTCAAAAGTATTTTTTTTAATAAATATTATACAGTTGTATAGACTAATCATTCAACTAATGGAGGACCACAAATAGAGATATTTGATCAATTATAAAAAAAAATTATTAGTGTGGCATATTATATTAACTTATTATTTGTTGGTTTCAAAATTATTTGTTTTAGATTATATTTAAAATCAACTACTTTATCTCTTTTATAATATTAATATTCATTATTTAAAATTATTTAAATTATTTGTTGTTTAGTTAAATCTCATCCGTTGGTAATGTAGGTTGTCCACCGACCCTTTCAAAATCGAAATTTTTAGACTATGTTTGGATAATTTAAAAATAACGGAGCAGAGCGGAACAGAACGGAAGAGAATGGAGTGGAATAGAACGGAACGGAATATAAATTTCATTCCACTATTTGGATATTTTACAACGGTGTGGAATTAATATTTCATTTAACTGTTTGTGAATTGGACGGAGCGGAAAGCATTATAACTTATTTTTTTCATTTTTACCCTTTACTACAATATTGATAGATTCAACATTCTCGCACTAAAATAATATATAAGTAATCATAGAAAAATATCAACTTAACACTTGAAAGAAATTAAAACAGACAGTAATAAATTAAAATGTTCATAAATGAAACATGGTTATTATAACTTGAAATTGCAAAGACCAAGTGCACAAGTTTTGATCAACAGCATACTGGATATTCATAGTAATTCATAAACAAAGTCAAGTTTTGCTAAAATTAATTGATAAATATATGTCTATGGTAGATAATGATATCAAGTCTTGCTAATAAAAAAAAATAAATATCGATTCATAATAGATAATGACTCTCTTCTTTAAGCATTCCACAAAACCTGCAAAAATAAAATAACATAAATTACGCAAATATTTCATTCGTTAAAGATAAAAAAATACTCAAAAGTGATAAATAAATATGTTACCATTATTAAAAGGGATAGTCTGGGACAATGAGATGTAACATTTCCTTCTACTTATCGATTGAAATTTCATTAAAAGCTTTCAATGCATCGGCATTCTTAACAAGGTACATGTATACAAGCGGCAAAGAACTTGGTTCAACCTCAATCCGACCAATTCAACCCAAATATCTCCCAACATTAGCAGTTTTACTCTGTTTGACCAGCTCCATGGAATTCATTTCAAACACATCAACCATTTTTTTGAAAGTTTTGGAAATCTCAATCATGCTTGTATCATCTTCAATAACCTTCTTTACTCGCTTGTTAGTCCTAAATGATGATACATCTTGAGAATTGGTAATAGAAGGCCTTGTAGGAGAATTGTTGGGATGATGTTCATCATCATCAAATCCCTCCAAAATAACTTCATTGGTTTCAACTAAGTGGTCTATTTTTTTGATGGTTGTGCTATGACTTTTTTCAACATTTGCAGCCTGTTTTCCTCTCATTTCAGTAACTGTACCTTCATGCTCTCCTGTTGCTCGATCTTTTTCAAAAAGTTTGGTCAATTTATCATAAAATAATATTGGCTTGTTTTTCCACTCAACAACTTTGGGTTTTGCCTACACCAAAATAAACGAAACAATGCATTACTTAAAAAGTTTTTAATGAGTGAACTCAAATAAAAATAATCGGGTAGGTGTATAAAACAATTATAGTAAATAATACCTCAATTAGCTTGTTCCAAACTTCATC